GAGAGAGAGAGAGAGAGAGAGAGAGAGAGAGAGAGAGAGAGAGAGAGAGAGGCATATCTATGTATAATAGACTGTAGGTAGACTGATTAGATAGATCGATTGATTGATAGATAGATAGATAGATAGATGGATAGATAGATAGATAGATGGAAAAGAGCAATGCACTGATGAGATAGATAGGTAGATAGATTGATTAGATAGATAGATAGGTAGACACGAAGGTATACAGGACTGATTAGATGGATAGGTAAACTGATAGGTAGATGGATAGATAGACAGATAAATAGAGTAGATCACGTGCCATAACGATAATTGATTTCAATACATTAGGTGGATAAATGGATGGATGGTGATTTAGAGCAGCCCCAGCACAAAATTTTGAAAGTCTGGAAAAACCCTATGTTGTGTAGAATGGCAATGCAGACAACTTTCGCCCCACAGTCACTTCATAATTCCCTACTAAATCCAAGAGCAAAAAAAATTGAAACCCCGTTAAACCCCTTTAATCCCCTTTAAGGTCCATTATACCCCCCTTCCCCCCTCCCCCCTTTGTCAACGGACAACACTCGCTTACCAAGGCAACGATCAGTAGCTGATCTGAGAATAATAAAGACCCTCGGTGAGTATGGAAAACCCCCACTGCGGACAGAAAAAGTAAAATCCTGTCGTTATCCCAAAAAGTGAAGAAGTGCGCCGCTGACGGATTATAATACTATGCTCAATTGTTTCAAAGAAAAGAAAAGGAAAAAAAGAAGAAATGAAGAGCAGTTGTCCTCAACTGCTGTCTTGCAAAGCTGTGTCGTGTTTATTACCTTCCTTCCGTTTCTTTCTCTCTTTGTTCCGTGTTCTTTCTTTTCCTTTCCGAAGATCATGATTTTTCCTATCGAGGGCTGTTCTGGAGGCTACATGTGTACACTGCAAACATTGTGTGTGTGTGAGAGAGAGAGAGAGAGAGAGAGAGAGAGAGAGAGAGAGAGAGAGAGAGAGAGAGAGAGAGAGAGAGAGAGAGAGAGATGTAATTGGGTGGTGCTTGGGCAAGGACTGATACTTGACGGCTCGTCTGGAGCTGTGACAAACGAGCGTGATAGGGGTACGTAGAGGTCATTGGAGCCTTGGCCAGAGATGACGAGATAAGTTTTGCTTCAATCTTTGCCTGTTCAAAGGTCTTTATTGTCTCAAGGCTTTCATCAATGTCTGAAGCGACGGAGAGATTACTGTTTTAGAGGAGATTGCTATTTACTGTTTTTCAAACTTTTTCTGTTGTCAGAGACTTGCAATTAATTTGTTGCGCCGGCACAAGGTACCTAGAAGGTGACAGTGCGGACTTCTCTTGTGCAGGTTTGCGTTATGTTGCTGAAGGATGATGAGAAGAGGAGGCTGGGAGCATCTGACTTGGCTCCGGGGGAATGGTCTTGTCTACACAGCAAATGCTGACTGGACCGGGAATGGCAGCTGGGAGGCGGAACGGCAGGCCTGGGAGGAGGAGGTAATGAGCTTGTGCAAGGGGCATTTGTGACAGGGAGGGATGTTGGATAAGGGAGGGGAGGAGGTGATGGAGGAAGACCTTCAGCATGCAGGGGAGAACCCAGATGCAAGGGAGGACAAGGAGGAGGAAGGTGGGGGAGTAGATGACATGGTGGAACAGGCCCCGAGCCTGAGCCGGCCTGGCACAGATGCTGATGGTGACGGTATTGACGGTGCACAAGGGGTGATTGTGGAGAGTGTCAGCATTCCTCTGAATGCCGTGCGAGGGAGTGAAGGCCAGGAGGTGGAGAGATGGTTGCCAGGTGCTGGTGCTGATGCGAGTCAGTTTGTAGCGAACCCTGCTGCGGTGGATGCGTCAACTACTGGTATATGTAATAGCACCATGCCTGATATCAGTGTTTCACCACTGCCATCTCCTCCGCCTGAAGTGATGGCGCATGAATCGCAGCGGTCTCCTCCTGATCTTTCTACTGCTGCCTCTGTGGGTGGAAAAAAACAAGATGATGCCTGCCACGTGGTGCAGGAAGAGGAGGGGGAAGAGGAGAAGGCGATCGGAGCCCCTTCTCCTGCTCCCTCCTCATCACCTTCCATTATTCCTCTAACGGCTGCCGCTGCGGGTGCTGCTGGGGTTAAGTCAGCTCCTCCTAGTGATAGCAGTGTAACCCCGCTGCTGAATCATCCTCAGAGTCAGGAAGCTGCTCTGCCATTGCCCCCCCCCACTTGTGCATTGGTGCCAGGAGCAGGGGCAGATTCTCACAAATCGCCAATGCTTTTGAGTCCCTTGGCTGATCCCATTCCTTCGCCACTGCTGCCCATGACTCTCTCGCAGAACTCTTCCCAAGGCTGTATGGGGAGTACGACTCCCATCTCGGGTTCGTCCCTCGCTGCTGCCTCAGCTCAGGCTTTTCCTCCCCCTTCTGCATCTGTCAAAGCTGCTCTGCTTAACGTCCAGCCTGCGTCGTCTCCACCTCTGGCGATGACTAGTGCAGGTGTGAATGGGCCAGAAGGAACCAGTGTTACTGAAAGCACTGGAGGTCCTGCTGCTGCCGCTGGAGGGAATGTGGCAATGGGTGCTGGTGCAGGGCTGGGAGCTCTCACTTCTGGTGGAGCAGTGGTGCCATTTCCAAGCATTGGAACCATTGGGACAATGGATGGGTCTTCCCTTGGGGTAGGAGGTGGTGGAAGCACTGGAGGTGGAGGAGGAGTTGGGGGGGGAGGAGGAGGAGGAGGAGGAGGAGGAGGAGGGGGAGAAAGTTTTGGAATTGATGGGACAGAATTGCTGTCTCCACAGGCTAGAAGATCGCAGAAAGCTGCTGCGAGAGCGGCGGCCAAGGAGGCAAAGGAGATGGCTGCAGCTGCAAAGAAGCAGGAGCGGGCCGACGCGAGAGCAGAGGCTGCAGCTATTAAGGCAGCAAAGAAACAGGAGAAAGAAGCGAAGAAGGCAGCGGGAGGAGGGTCTGCTAAGAAGCCTAGGAAGGCAGCCGCTACTGCTGTCACAGATGGCGCTGGGCCAGCTGGTGGAAAAGATTCTACTTCTGGTAGTAAAGCTGAGGCATCTGTTTCTCAAATGACAGCTGGTGCAGACGGAGGTGCTGCTTCCGGTGGCAACTCAAAGGAAGACAGGAAAGATGGAGCAGGAAGTTCGTTAACTGAGGCACCTTTAGATGAGACTGCACAGCAGCTATCACAGAGTACATTACGGGGAACTTCGGGGCGGGAAGGAATCCATGAAGATGGTCTGAATGCAGCTGGGTCGAGTGAGCATGCTGGTGGTGGTGGTGTGACGAGAAATGATCCTTCTGCTGCCGGTCTTAGAAGACATAAACGAGGAGTAGGGGTAGGAAGCATTGCTACAGGTACCAGCAAAGGAGTGAATGCTGTCTCTTATACACATCTAGATGTGTATAAGAGACAGCCTTTAGATGAGACTGCACAGCAGCTATCACAGAGTACATTACGGGGAACTTCGGGGCGGGAAGGAATCCATGAAGATGGTCTGAATGCAGCTGGGTCGAGTGAGCATGCTGGTGGTGGTGGTGTGACGAGAAATGATCCTTCTGCTGCCGGTCTTAGAAGACATAAACGAGGAGTAGGGGTAGGAAGCATTGCTACAGGTACCAGCAAAGGAGTGAATGTGCCCTCAGGAGCAGGCAGAAATGCCAGTGCTGTTCCCGTGGTGGGTGTGGGGGGCTGTGGGGGGGCTAGCGTTTTATCGCCTCCTGAAGGTGCTGCGATGACTATGGGCCTATCAGGGAAGGTTACTGGGTCAGGGGGCATGATGGGTGGTTTCGTGGGAGAACCTCGAATGCAAATGACGACGAGTGTTGGTGGAAGAGGAGTGCGCATTGGTGGCGGGGCAGAGGCCAGTGGCAGTGCTGGTGGGATGGGACGGGGAAACAGTGGTGGGACTGCGTGGGCAGGACTGGCGCCAGTTGCTGGGGGGATGGTGCGTGATGTCATGGGAGGAGCAGGCGGCGGTGCCGGTCTCTTGGGTGGCATTCCTGGAGCGGGAGGTGGTTTTTCACAAGGGAATCCTATGGCGGCAATGGGTGATGCGAAGCCTGAGGCTGGTGTGATCAGAAGGCCCTCGTCTTTAACGGGCGTTCCAGGAGTGGCAGGCCGGGGTATGATGAGTTCAGTAGGTGCAGATGTGGCTGCGAGAGGGAGGTTGGGTCTCACGTTTCCTTCTGAGGGAGGAGGATCTGCTTACGGTGGGGGCATTGGTACCGAAAGAGAGGGTGCTGATGCTGGTGTCAGTCACCCAGGGGGTACTGTTCTTCCAGGAGGGAGCGGTGTTGTTTCCAACGGCAGTGGTGGTGCTGGGTACCTGTCTCAGGCTGATGTCCCAGCAGCTGGTGGCATGTCTGGCTTACCCGTTGGCGGAGGAGGTGCTTCCCCTCTCCCTCTGTCGAACGGAGTTCTGACTGCTGGTAAGAGTCTAGGCAAGATTGGTACAGGCATTCTTGGTGGCAATGGTGGTCACAGCCCCCCGCCTCCAGGTGGTGGGGGATTAGGAGCTGCGGGAGTTGGACCACTGCCGGTTGGTGGTGCGGGTGCAATGGGTGTTGGAGGGGGAGGAGGAGGAGGAGGAGGAGGAGGCTCTTCTCGTGGAATGTTCGTGGCAGGAGGCAGTGATGGGACATTCCTTGGTACAGGAGGGGGTGGGTCGCTGGGAATCGGATCTCTTCGAGGGGTTATGAAGAACCCTCTCGGTGGGCCGACATTCACAGCTAGAAGTGGCAGTGAAATGGCGATGCTGGGAGCAAGGCGCACTGGAGGTAATGAAGGTGGTGTTCCTGGTGGTGGTATGGGCGGTGGTGTGGGGGAAGTAGGCACCGGAGGCGGCTTTGTCATGGGTGGGGGCATGGGAGAGAACCCTCAGCTGGCTATGGGCGGAGCAAGGCACATGATGGGACCTCGAGGAATGCCCATTCATATGGTGCGACCGATTTTAAGGGGACGTGGGCCAGGAGGGATGGTTATGATGCGCAAACCTCTTGGCAGTCTTTTTGCGGTAACCAAAGATGAGGCTGTAGCTATTGTGAAGGAGATGGTGGCCAGAGGTGAGATGCCTTTTCGGGAAAGTCAATTGCACCAGCTGCGGGCGCAGATTCACTCTTTTCTTGCCATCAAGTGAGTGAACTAGTCCACCCTAATACCTCATGACTCTCTCTTCCCCCTCCCCCTCCCCCCCCTCCCTTCTCCATCCAGTTTTCTTTCCTTTCTCTTCTACTGCCTCTCTGCCCATGCCGCTCTTCCTCACCATTCAGTGAATTTCCCTGCCTGCCTTGGGGGCATCCTCTCACCATCTCTGCCATTCTCTTCTTCTTATTACGTTTGCTCCTCTTCCAAGTTCTGTTGCCTTTCGACCCCCCTTATCCCCTGCCCCCTGGTTCATGGTGTACAAATTGTCATTGTTCTTTTGAAGGCTATCTGAAGTGGCGTGGTGTGGAGTTGGCTGTCAAGCTAGTGGGCGTGGTTGGCTGTCAAACTGGAAAATACGGGTACGCCAAACTGGTGGACAGGCATCTGCCAAGCTGGTGATAGGAGGCAGCTGGGCTCGTGACAGTTGTCGACTGAGTTGCCTTGGTGCATGTGAAGGGTGCGGGCAACACCGGGGCGGTTTAGTGTGAACATATCTGACCATTCATCAAAACAAAGGACTACCTTGCTGCAAATCATGAGACAGCCGACTCCATCGCTTCCAGCATAACGTCTTTTTTCTTTTTTTTATTTTATTTAAAAATACAGCTGTCTTCTCGTCATGTGGGCGACAGTTGTATTTTTCCCCTACCTTATTTTCTTCTGTTTCGCCTCGCACTAACAACCTAAATCGATGCCCTACCCACCATTATCCAACGCTAACGTCTTCACCCGAATAGAACGCCCGGTCATTACAGCCGTATTTGTTGCGATTTTCAGTCCAGATACAGCTATAATGACCGGTCGTTCTATTCGGGTGAAGACGGTAGGGTCTAAGGCCTAAGGGGCAGGGTCTAAGGGTGATACTTCAGTGTTATGGAGGCTAAGGTTGAAGCTTTAAATTCACTGGCCAAAGCTTAAGCTATCCGAAGGTTATGGGTCTATGCCTACCTATTGCTGCTCCGTGCGGGGAGCAGTACCCAGGCTCCTAACGCCTGACGCGGGCCTGGGGGTTGGCTTGGGCCTCCTGGCTGGTCGTGGAAGTAAGCATAACGTCTTTTTGAATTCCTTGTTTTCATCCTGTTTTCCTTCTTTCTCCCCCTTCTCTCTCTCTCCTTTCCTTTGCCTATGGCCTGGCAGAGGAAAGCAAAGGGTGAGCTGAATATGATTTTGAGGTTATCTTTTATTTAAACAGCACAAGAACCTGATAGGTTTTGCATCTCCCCAGCACATCTGGCTGAATGGGGAACGCATGTAAGTGTTAGTAGACATGTCATGAGATTTAATTCTGTTGGAAATACAATAATAATGCTAGAGCTTCCTCCTTGAAAAAACAAAAGAAAAGTGGATGCGGGTAGCTGGGGAGGGAAACCAACCCTTACAGGCAGCGAAGAGGGTCAGTCAGATTCCGCAGACGAACAAGTGCCTTCCGCCGGATAAGATCCGCGGAGGTCTTTCTTCTTCGTTGAGAGAACGCAAACTCTCAGACAGATACACGGATCTAATAGGTCTTCTTGCAGATCCTAAATTCTTAATATATTGCTACGAGACTATCAAGAGTAGGCCTGGTAACATGACTCCTGGAAAGGCGCGAAGCGCTCTTGATGGACTTGTAAAAAAGATTTAACAAGATCAAAGTGGAAACATTTGCTAAGAGTATAGTTGGAACTTGGAATTAAAAAAGCAGCAGTAATCCGTTGAAGAACCCGATGTGCCAATCTTTCTCTATTAGCTTTCATTCGTTTACACCTTTTTTTACGACTTTGTCTCGTAAAAATTTAAAACAGATATGTTTGTCGGCTCAATGTAAAGCAATTATTTAAAATTTATTATAGGATCTCAAAATACCATTGTATTCGAGGAGTGAAACAGTTCCAAGGAATTCCTAATCCACGCCGAGGCCGATCAAAATATGAAATATGAACCCAAGAAAAACCCGAAATTGAAATATGAACCGCAAAAACATCTCCCAAGTCTCGCTCTTCGCGCCTTTGATTTTAGAGAATTGCAAGGCACAACAATCGATACACAAATTTATCAACATTTGTATGATTCATGGGGAAAAAAACAAAATCTCGTTCTTTTTTCTTTGTTTATGAAACTTTCTATAATTGTCTAGCTAGCTCATGAGAACTTGTCTATGAATGTAATCATGCATTTTGTTAACGCGACTGAGAATGACAAACCTATTTTAGAAGTAAAAGAAGTCCGAATCTCTCTCTGGAACCACCCAATTAGTCCCATCCATTATACCAAAGAGCCGTCGAGAAACCTTAGCGCTTCGGTGGATTCGTGAAGGCGCCTTGTGGAGATGACGTTTGACAGACTGTAGTCTCACCATAGCTCTATCGCTTTCCCCCGAGTACAATGCACCCTCATTCTGACTGTGTCGAACTGGAAAGATGGATTGTATACATTCATGATCAGGGTTTGTTGTGTTTGGGGAAGAGGGCAGTGCGTGCTTTGCGAAGCTGCTCATCCATTATGCGTTCTTTTGCTTTCGCAGGAAAGGAGAGGTGCCACCGAAGATGACTTTGGCCCTGGCAACAGAGAATATTAATCTAGGTCAGTTGGTTTCGCATCATGTTGCTGTTTCTTTTTTCTCGCTGTCTAAAGGGGAAGTGAAGGAAGAAGTGGAGGAGCAG